AGAGTAAAAACAAACTTCCATAAAAAGTGAAACGGTTTATGGTATATTTCCTACCTTTGAAAAAAATTTCTTCGTGGCCAAAGGTGCATTTAGTTTCTGTCAACAAATGTAACTGAAAACCCGACAGCCGACCAATATCTTGCGTATCAGCAAAGAGAACGGGAAACACGGAGATTGAACCGCAATATCACAATTTTCTTCACGTAAAATAGTGCAACTAGCAATAGTAGCATATTATGCCATTTATTAAAAGACAGGAGGTATTACGAAGTTTTCATTCTCTTCTGTTCCGATTTGTTCGCTGATTAAGAAATCGAATGCGCAGATAGCCTCTGCAGCCCTTGCATCATAATTGTTCGGGGCTCTGTCAGGGTGGGCGAAGGCCAGCGACCATCTCCAAAAAAAACCCAGGTGTTCGGAAAGTGTACTACCGCAAGTTTTGGGGCTGCTTGGCTAATTTAGGCGTCTGGCGTTGCCCGTCCTAGTTAGAAAAGAAGCGGAACAGCGGCCAGCTCAACGTTGTCACCAAGCGGGAAATCATGCCGAAATGCGTCCTTGAACACGTGCGAGATCTTTACCCGAACCCCAGACGGGATTCGCTACAATTCATCTAAAAAAAAAAACTATAAAAAGGGGTAGGTTTAAACGATTTTGCAATTTTTGAATATAGTCATGCGGACTAACTGTCCACAAGTACAGAAATAAATGCAGTACAAAATGCAGAGCTCTATTGTAGTCTTTAGTCCATACTTGTCTTTCGCGCTGTACGCGAATTAAAATAAATTCTGCAATATCTGTAGATTATGCCTGTTATGTTGTCTCTAAAAGAAAAGTAATCAAGCATGATCGGTATCGTGCCACCCAATGGGTGCAAATACAATTTTATGTGGAATTCAACGTCAAAACAGTACTTCCGCGGGAAATAATGCATCCGTCATTCTTCGTCTCCCTGAAGCTATGAACTACCAAATCTCGGCTACAGGACTTTTGGGTCCACAAAATATCACGCTCAGTAGAAAAGTCGCCTTTTGTACCAAGGTACTGGAAATTATTTATTTTTCAAACAGGTCGGGTTGTGATGCGTGTTTGAGTGTAGGACCGTTGGCTGGGCACTGGTTTGCGCCAAGAGTGCAGTGCTTTTTTTCATGCTGCCTGCGACGAGTGTTGAAATTTGAATATAGTAGAAATAAAATCAACTGACGCTCCTAGAATTATTTTAAACTTGCGCTTTCTTCAGGAATTAAGACTTTGATCGTACCTTTTATTCATTGTCGTCTTCGAACAACTTGCCGAGGAGGCCGCGCTGTCCGCGTACGCGGCTTGACAGATAAGTTCGAGAATGCTTTTCACGAATCTTTAAAAACCAAGCATAAAAATGAAAGACGCTTGCAAATCTCTGTAACGCGAAATTAGAGCGCAGCCACTTTACGCCAATGAAACGAACTTTATGTTTTGGGCAGACGTCTTGCGAGAGTTGCAGTATTTTTAATTATGCCTCATAAATTAAATGTTTAGGACTAAGTACCAAACTTTTTTAAATGTATTAAGAACCGAAATGCTAATTGGAAAGTCCTAGAGCTCCTTGAGAAACACCCCAATTAGCTGTTTGCAACGTGATACGACTGCCGTGGCTTCCTTCTGACCTGTAACAAAGCTTATGAAACATGACAAAATACCTTGTGATAAAGCGCCCGCCCCATCATAAACTCAATTTCGAATGTCCAGAAATTTGTTTTTAGAGGCCGGGAAAAAAAAGAGAGATGCATGCAAGGCACGTGCTTCACGCTTTATTTATATCAGAAAAGAACTGCCCTCTGTTTTATATACAGCGTTGATTTTCTTTCTTTTTTTTTCACCTACAAGATATTAGAAAAAAACATGCAAATTAACGTTTTGTGGATGTGAGCTACACGGCCAGGTGAAGATTGGGTTCAAGAAAGAACGCAACAAAAACCGACTGGTTACCTAACATTTGTTAATTAACTTTTTGAATATAAAAGAAAACGGGATAGTTGATTCATAAAGTTGTTGGGCATTATCGAAAGCCACCAAATTGTCCAGTGAAAATTAGCGCCATTGCGATTTGTGTAGGTGAGCTATACGGCCAGGCGAGGATTAGGTTCAATAAAGAACGCAACTAAAACCGATCGATTGCCTAAAATTCGCTAATTAACCTTTAAGTTAGAAAAGAAAAACGACATCGTGTATTTAGAAAGTTGTTGGCCGTAATCGCGAGCCACCAAACCGTCCATCCTTAAAAAGATGTAAAGCGCGTACACTGTTATACGGCGTCTTGATAGGGCGTCGTCCTAATTTGGGCGCGAAAATATAGTTCTGATTTTATGTGGGCTCCATCTCCGCGTGGCACAGCCTAACGCCATGAAGCCAAAACGGCAAATCATGCGCATCGCTGAGACAACGCCACTGTAGAAGGGGCGAGGAGTGCGGCGGCCGAAAAGATTGCGGTAACACGATTCGCGTCCAAATTAGGCTCTTTAGGACGCCGTGAACCATTTCACGTGCACTACATCTCTTTAAAAATGAATGATTTGGTGTTTTTGATGACTACAGATAAGGCACAAACCGAAATTGCGTAACTCGAACGTCTTTTGTAGAAAAATGTCTAGTCGTTAAAAAAAAAAGATCGCCCTGAATAAGCAGGATTGTAAGGCAGTTCTTTACGTCCGGCGACATCATTACGGCATGGAAGGAGACATTGACCACAGATCATACGCTGTGTATGCTCTGTGCATGGTCACTGTTTTTTTTTTTGTTTTGTTTTTTTCGTACGAGAATGAGCAAACATTTGATACCAAATAAAATAGATTTAGCATTCACCAAATTCCACTTGTTTTACTTGATTCAAATCGATATTTGATTTTATTACACTTATCTTGTACCCGCACACGCCTCCTTTATTCCCTAATGAGTTACAAGTGATAATTACATTGTTTTTTTTGTCGTGCGAGGTTATCACAATTTATTATTAACAATCGAAGCTGTGCGATTACGCGGAGGCGGCGCATTTGAAGATATTCAAAATTGTTCTGAATACACAAACAGCCTCAAACGTCTTGCTGTTTGGGTCCTTTCCTACACGTATGACCAATAATAAAGCAAAAACCTTATAGAGGAGACTATCTCTATCAACTCAACGCGCAAACACAATGTGAAGCGTGTCTGCGTACGTTGGAAAAGAGATACCGGAGAGCAAACCATAGCGTCGAATGTCCATGTATCAAAATGTCCGTGCACCGAAATATCCGCGCACCGAAAAGTCCCACACCAAAAAGTCTTTGCAGCAAAAAGTCCGTACACTGAAACGTCCGTGCACCGAAACGTCCGCACCGAAATGCCCTACAGCAAAACGCTCCACGCTGAAAACTGCTAGACCCACTACGGATGGGGTCCTCCGTCACCTCTGGCGGTTTACGAACCATAATGATTCAGAACCACTGGTCTATGGAGTGCCATCCCTGATATACAGAAAACGCCGCTCGTACTTCCCGTTGTCACCATGAATCCGGCAACGAAATATGCCAGATCAGATATTTATATTAAAATTGATACTTTAATGACTACTTCTTTGAGCAGAACGAGGTATTTGTGCTCTCACAACAGCAAAGAATCGTCTTCCAAACCAATGCTAAAAAAGAGCCAATGCAACTCGTTGGGAAGAGCAAGTGCCAAGCTCGCTCAAAACAGTTACTCGGTTGGTTCAGCTCCTTGTCGCAGGTGTGCCGGCTGGCTTCTGGATAATCTTTTCAAATCCTCGAAGCTTTCATTTCCTCCACCCCAAACTTGTAAAAAAACAAAAAAAAAAACAAGCAGTTAGCAAAAAAAGAAAAAAAAAAACGGAAAATGGCGAGGAGGAAACGAGAGGCTATTTCGTCCTTTCACAGTGGCGAGAAGGAAAGTGAGGGTCGGGTTCCTTCTCTCTGCTTGCGGGCCGGCCTTTAAGCAGGTGAACCGAAGCGGGAATGAAAGAAGCGAGGCCGCTTCCCCTCATTCTAAAGTGTACCAGAAGTATGATGTCACATTTCTTGTTTGATTGTGCCCTTTCCTTTCCAAGAATACGGCCATCCGTTTGCGATATTAATGTATGAGTGATGTTTCGGAGTTTGTAGAGCTCCCATTCAAAGCTTCCGCGACCTTATTTTATGAAATCCAAATTTTGGTCCAGCATCCTTTTAAACAAGCTTTTTCAAATATTAGCATAATGAACATACAATTGGACAACTTGCTAACTCACAACAGCATCCTCCCGATGATGCCGTACAAAGGTTCTGTCACACGCACCAACCGAGGGGATTGCTGCAAGTCCATCCACCCTCAACTTTTAGTCACCTTTGAGCCTGAAGAACTGCTGTATGAGGCCCGTCCAGCCACTGAGCACACAAAGAGAAACACGGGAAATAACACTCAGTGACGAGCAAAGTCTCTGGGCGGGAAGCCCTCCATGACAAATGAGCACTGTTGGGTTACGGCAACGGCGTAATACACAGGTTCTGCTTCTTCGATGCCTTCACCGCTGCGGTGGGTGGTCGTAGCTAGTCGTAGCAGATAGTGTCACGTTTGTTGCTCGTACCAAAACACCAAAGCCGTGTAGTATTCTTGTTGCCGAAGTTCATAAGCCTACGTTCCTGGTTTACACACACTACACAAAGCCAGCCACGAGCAAAGCTAGCTAACCCCGTTTCTGCTTCGGCGACAAGCCGCCAGGGCGGTGACACCGCCGCTGAAACTTCTGCCTCGGCTCTTCAAACCAGGGCCCCTCAGTGCACAAGCATGACACTTGCTAGGCTGCTCTGCCTGTACCAAGTGACACGCGCCCGCATGTTCCCTCTCATAATTCTTCTGACTGTACGTGCCCCGTATTGTACACGGCCATACTGTGCACATGGCGAAAGTTCCCTTTAAAAAGTGCTCCACGGTCGGCTTACAATGCTGCGAACACATAGCACATGACCACTATAGGTGACAACACTTGGGACACTTGCCATCCGTCGTTGTGGCGCAAAGTCGCTTTCTCAGTCGTCCTCACAAGGGGCAAGGAAAGGCAGGCACTGCATAAAAAATCAATACATATTATAACACTGGCTGTGGCAAACTAGTTTCAAAGATGATACAGTCATGTCTTCTTAATATGGACACCTCCGTACTATAAAAAGATTTTTTTCTATAATGTAAGGTGTTTATATGAGAAAATTAAATTTAAAACAAAAATTGGATAACAAGCATAACCAAACAAACAGTTTATTCAGCTAAAAGATAATGAGATGCGAAGTTTGCTCTATCGCTTTAGAGCCGTTTAACATGTAGCACTACTGTCGTTTACAAGAACAGATACCCAGGCTGTAAAGTGATGATCGGCTGAATAGCAAAAGATGTTGCACTGTATGCACAAGCCGGATGTAATTGACACTTAGCTGCCGGCAGTTAGGATCCTATAATCTTATGATTGCAGACGGGAATTACATCTGGTGCCTACGGCTGGAATAATGTCTCGCTTCGTAATAGAAAAAGCACAAAAAAAACACAGGATGGAGAAACCGGGTGTCACAAATTCAGGCTTCTCTTCATTTTTTTAAATACTTTTATGATCTTTTTTTTGGACCACTTTAAGTTTTGGTACGGTCAAAAAGGGGGAGTGTGGTGCCACTTTTAATCTCAGTTCGTCCCGTCGTAGTTCCTTTCTAAGTCCCCAACGAATTTGCTCGTTTGCGGAATGGGTTTTTGTTAACGGGCGACGTAGATCATCCCAGGTCACAGTTTGTGGCTTTGACCTCACGGATGGAGGGGTGCGTATGCTGGCTCGCGTATGGTGCCGATTTGACATGCAGGGGCGCCGCCGGGATACAAAGATGTTTACGCTGGCTAGCACGCTTTTTGAAGGCGGCGGCTTTGCTCAGTCTGCCGCCTGTCGTGTTCTATATATCGGCGATAATTGATGTTTTTGGACTCGTACGGGGGAATGGATGGGCACATATGTTTGGTTGTCTGAAAAATGTAATAGGTTTTGCCATTTGGGTCGTTGCTGTGTAGCTTTGTTTTTCTTGAAAGTTGACTGACCCGAAAGGCGGGGAAACGGGAGGTTGGTCGGTAGACGAGCCTATAAAAGGGGGTTCGGGAACAAAGAAGGTAGTCCAACCCCAGAGCTGGCCGGGTCGCTACTCAACGCGGTTACTCCCTGCAGATGAGTCATGGAACGTGTAATTTTTGGCTTCTGCCCTGCCTGTCGGACAAGTGTTTGAGTTTGTTGTGCTGAAGCGTGTGTGGCTGTGTGGTGCGCGGTGTCGACCTCATCAAGCCTCTAATTGGACCGCTGGACTTCGAGACGCCGTTCTTCGGCCGACAACTCCAGACTACGGACTGCTCTGGACTCGGCACCTACCAGAAAGCTAAGCCTGGTTTTCTAGGACTTGTCTACTGCATTCTCTGGCTCTGAAGTACGAATTGTTGAATGCTGGGAAGATTTTTACACAGTGCTACTTTCTGTCGCGACTGTTTTGGGGGATTATCCCATGTGTGTAGCGGTAACGTTCGAGCTCCATCTCGGTTTGCTCTCGTTGTTAGTGTCGGGTTTTTGTCACTGTTTTGTTGGCTCATTCCGGTTTTATGAGCGTCGAGTCTTTTTAGTATTAGTTTCTGGCTCGCAGGGCTCCATAGCTTTGAGCTGGAGTGTGGTTTGTGTTGAGTGCTCTATTGCCGTGTACAGCTTAGTTTTTCACTTTATTAAATCTAATCTTTTGTTTGCTTATCCTCCCTGTGTCATCATCTTTCTCTACTGATTGTACACCAGGCGTGGACCTAGCGCTAGTCAATGGTCGAACTTAGCTCTCTTGTTCTTTTCCCGTAATTTCTCGTTTATTCTCAGAGTGGATCATTGAATTATTTTTATTAATTTGAACCCCACTCCGTGACACCGAAACATATGGGAAAGCACCACAACGTATTAACATTAAATGTTCTTGAATTATACCTCACCCATGCTTGCTACGTGATGAAGCCCAAAGGTTAGTTCAATGCCAATCAATATTAAATGTCTTTAGATGGGCACCTGCTGCCCGATCATGGCCTTTATTGCAAAGCACTGTTCACACATTTGCGAGTCCTGCAGTGCCTTGTGGAATGGTGGGCGATACTTGCCCTTCCGCAAGGCACTGCAAGACAGATCAGGCTCAACTTTTGAATGTCGACATGCTTACGGAATGCTGCAGCAAACCAATCATTCGCCGAGGGAAAAAGAAAGGAAGCTGCATGCCTCCGTGTGCTCATTGCCAGTGTTTTCTGCTCTGCTACGTACCCTGCTTGTGTGCTGTGATTTGCAAGCCAGCGCGGGATATATTTCCTTGATTTGTTTGTCTGTTCAGCTGTGCGAGGTTGTGATTGAAACAACCAAGAATTATAGACCGCCATTCTTTTCATCAAGCTAAGGCTTCGCTCATCCGAACCGGGGACGATGACTGCTGTTGTTTACACGATTTTCGACAGCTATGTGGAGTGGCTTTGTGTTTAAAATTGCAATCCTAAGTGCAAAAAGAAGTTACCGCAGACTATATTGTTAAAGGTTGATTTCAACTGGCAGGCTCTGGCTACAACCACCTTAATATTCATTCAACATTGTTTGCATTTCTACTTACCCGTGATCGCTTCATTTGCCAAACACGTTAGTGGCCGGTCACCTTACCAATGAAACTAATGTGCTGGTGTCTCCGGCGAAGAATTCCCTCAGGGCTACATGCAATGCACAACCCAGTTTGTAGCCCGTTGTGACTGAAAGCTTTCACACTGGGGAAACGTTGTTGTCACAAACGCAGTCAAAGAATGCGATAGGATTGAGGGAACAGGGGGATTGTCTAAGTTGACCGACTGCATGAGCATATGTTTCTATCGCCACCGTGTTTCCTCCACGCAGGCGACGGAGAAAACGATATAGAGACTCCTCGCGCTTGCCAATGCCAAGTTTCTCTAAAACGTCGAAATACGAGACACCCAGCAGCGAAGTGTCGATATTGCCGGAGAGAGCGGCGGGACAACGATCAGCGCAGGATCGCGGCTTCGCCACTCTTATGCGACGGTGTCTTCGGTTTCCGCTCTCTGCAGCTTCCACCGGGACGCTAGCCGTGCCTAATTGTGCTAGCTTTAAGCACCACAGTTCATAGGGTTCCCAGCGCCCGAGCGAAAGCTCGCGCAAAAGAACCGGCGAGCAGTCGAGTCGTTTCCAATCGACGGGGTGGCTAAACGCCGGTTGTGTGAATCGGGCTTAACGCCTGAGCCGGCTTGCTCAAAGCAAATCTAACGTTCTTGAATGACATGTAATAAAAATCTGAGACGTGCTACATTCTATACAAACTTGATAAAAAAAATCAAACACTCACCTTCGGCTGCTACGTCCGCCGTACCGCTTCAAGGCAGAAGCAACATGGCGCTCGACGTCTTGTCTTACGAGCGTTTCGCCGCAGTAAGGTTGCAACGCCTATTGGCTGAGAGAAAAAAGCAAAAACAAGCAAAACAACACAAACAGGAAGTGACGAAAATTTTTGTTTTGTTTGTTTTTGCTTCTTCCAATTTTACTTTTTGTTTTTACTTTTCGTTCCTCCAAGTGTTTGTTGGGCGCTTTTCGGAGCGGTCGCGTCGGTTCCATATCAGTGGTTCCAGCGGTCTTTCTTGTATTATACATTGTCGTGTTATGTGCCGCGGTATTGCCGAGTGGAGTTGGTCGTGATATTCAATGCTTGGGAAGGAGCGTCGGCAGTGAAGTCCACAGCGCATTCAGCGCATTCATGCAAGCCAGCAACAGGACCCGTCTGACCCGTCTCGCCTCATGGAGGCCCGTGGGACGCTTGTTCGGAAAGTAAAAGGTGAGTGGAATTTACCTACTGGTGGCGTTCGATCGTCGATTCAACACCGCTGTGGTGGAATTTGATAGCGCTTGGCTACCTCACGTAGCGTCGGGGACAAAGAAGAAGATAATAGAGATAATCAACGGGAGTGGCATGTGGCTCCCAAGTGCCGCCTGCGCCGCATTTGCATGTTGGGAATCTCAGCTTTTGACGAGCTCGTGCAGTCACAAAAGCGTTCTGTCGAAAGACGGGATTTACAAACAGATCAGGCTTCGCGAATGGCCCTCACGGCGCGTTGAATTTGTGGCGGGTAAATATGTTGCTGTTCGTCCTGGTAGGCCTGCGATGGTGTTTTCTGCACAAATACTGTATTCTGCCTCGTGGTACATTCACACCTGCAGCAGAACTGCTAAGCGATTCTGCTACAGGTTAATGGCGAAGAGTTGTGCTCTTCCATAGTGTGCATGTTAAAGTGACAACAAATAAGTGCCTCTTTGTTCTACTTCTCCTTTGGTATTCAACTGGTTTTATTTTCTACTACATTTTGTTCAGAAAGCCACTGCGAGACAGGCATTATTGATGTATACTATCCAAAACAATGCTTGAGCATGAGATGAGGTAACAGAAATACTTCTTTATGTGCCTGATTTTTATGTTTTTGCAATTCACCGGCTAGACCACTCTTCTCATGGTTATTGTTTTGTTGGGTGCAAAATTTTCCACCCCAGGTGTCCGATGCTTGCGGCTGATGGCTTCTACCTACGTGCATCAAACAGCGGGCCTGCACCTTCGCCGAGACAGCAGTAAAACAGTTCTGGGTAACTGCAGCGACTGGGTCACCGATGCCGTTCCACTTCCTGCACTGCACTTTGCGTGGGTCAAAGGGCCAGCGCCTGCCTTTTATGCGTTGTCGCCAGCCATAGTGAGTATGGCTTGGAGTCACGTCATGCGAGTGAAATGCTTGTCACCTGAGTGACGTCAGTGGGTGGGGGTAGAGTTCCTGTATAGGCTCCCTACGGAAGCCAGAGTTGCACATTTGTTTTCCCCGTGCCGCCACGCCGCTATTCGCCGAGATCCATCACGTGAGGAGCAAAGCATCCGGTGGCGTGCAAGAAAGCCACCTTTACGGTCGCTCAGCCGACGTTTCTCTTGCCCCGGCGTATGTTTCCCTGCTTTCCGCCTACTTTT